ATTATACATTTTGTATTAAGAAATCAGGAACAAATCTCCATGTTCAAATAATCAAAGACCTTTAAAAAAGATATCCTACCCTTTCTTTTTAAGGTTAACAATTCTATGTGATTTCTGGAGACTGTCACCAAATATATTCCAAAGAAAATGCTTGTTTATACTGCCAATCTTGAAAGTGCTAAAATGAAAACATCCAGGTCACAGACTCTTATATATGCTGGGATTAGTTTCATTGCAGATGTGCACAAATTACTATCCAAGATTCAGAAATTTACAAGTTAACAAACCTACATAGTAACAGCAGCATGGACCATTCTGTTCACACAGAACTCAGACTCCTCTCAAAGCTCCTCTATTTTTAACAGCAATCTTATCTGATTTTTAAGTTCTTCATGGCATTTGTTTTCAGTTACAGTTGATAACACAGTGGCTAAGAGTGTTCCCAGAAGGGGCAAGATTGGTACCCATCATCCACATCTGGAAACTCATAAGCGCTAACTGCAGTGCAGGCGATCAGATGGCCTTTCTGGCCTCTGCTGTCGCTCAATCCAGAATCAGTTAAGAAAAATTATTAACATAAATGTAAATTTGCTTCACCTTATACATAATCCCCACCATGTTTGGGTGTACTTTTCCCTCTAGTTCTTTTCTGAACAACTCATATGGTACTTTTAAAGCAGTATTTTTATATAGTTCTTAAAATAGATCGGCTTTAATAGTAAAATAATTTACTCATTTGAATTTTATAGAACAGAATTTTGTTTCATTCACAAAAATAAAATTGAGGTGGCTGATGTTAACCCTAATACATCAGACAAATATTTTGTTAAATGTACTTTACTTGTCTCCACACTAAACAATTCATTTTACTGATCTATAAACTGCAAAATTACTAAAGCAAGACAATCAAATGCCTCCAATAAGCAACCATTCTTTATTCAGTAGTGAAAAGAAAGACATTCAGACATTTACAATATCAGGTTTGCATACAATATGCAGACTTGACTTACGAGAGTACTGTGCATTGCTAAACAAGACACAAGTGGTGCCATTAGTCTGGCTATGTAAATAGGAGAGCATAGCAACAAGGCAGCTAGTGTAGTGTAAGAATCCAGTCTCAACTGTGAAATTTAATAGGATAAACACATCTATAATTGCATTTCATCTAAAAATAGAAATGGAAGTTAATAAAGAAGACACTATGTGTAAATTCTCAATCTTTAAAAAAATATAGGAATTACTTTGTATTCCTCACGGAATTACTTTGTATTCCTCACTATTACTTTATATTAAGGCTTATTTATTTTTTTGTGTATGAGTGTTTCGCCTGCACATATGTCTGTGTACCATGTGTGTGCCCGATGTCTATGTATGTCAGAAGACAGCATTTGATCACCTGAACTATATTGATAGATTATTGGGAGCCACCAAGTGAGTGCTAGGAATAGAATCCAAGTCCTCTCCAAGAACAAGTACTCCCAACTGCTAAGACATCTCTCCAGCCCACACAGTGTACTTTTACAGGTTTACCCAAAAAAGTTTCAGTAAGGAAATTCAAAAACAATGTTAGTGGATAACTATCAAGTAGAACAAAGAAAAATAATCTTAAAAAACTTTTAGATTGCTGCAAATTCTAATTCTGAAGTCTCTCCAAGCTTCAAAGTAAGCTTTGTTTCCCTTCTTTTGTGTTTCCACTAAACTCAAGAGTTTTATTTCTATCTTAGGACACATTCCCTACACAATTTTCTACAGTGATCTAAAAATGAAAAAGAAGAAAAGTCAATAATATCTATTCACATCTAAAACACTCACATAACTGTAACAAGAAGTTCTTTGTCCCAGTTGGTCCCACAACCGCTTCAGTCCCAAAGAAGCACACAGACGCTATATTAATATAAATCTGTTGGTCGGTGGCTTGGGCTTCTTATTGGCTAGTTCTGTCTCAATTACTAACCCATTTCCATTAATCTATGTATTTCCAAGTGGTCTTGGCTTTCTGGAGAATGCCTTGGGCATCCTCTCTTTTGGGGCTCTACATGATGACTGCTTCCACCACCTACATTTCTCAAAATTTTCCTCCTCTCCTAGTCCCATCTATGTCCCTGCCTATATCGGCTACAGTGTTTTCTTCATCAACCAGTAACAGTAACAAACAGAGAAGGACAACCCACATCACACAGCAACTCACTCTTAGAAGTTAATTTACAGGTATCTTCAAGTACACAGATGTATGCATATATAAAAATGTTCAAAGAAATGTGCTATAATACAGCATGGTAAATATGTAAATTTCATCATAGGGACAGGGCAAATAAAGCTTGCTACATCTGTATAATAAAACACTAAGCAATCTTTACAAAGAATTAGGTAGGTCTCCACACAACTATAAAATGTTGCCTTTCAACTTTGAACAGAAAGTACTATTCAAATAGAAAAGGAAGCTTAACAAAGATTATAGATGCTTGAAATGTATATAACTAGCAGAAACCCCCTGAAAGGGGGCTCAGGAATCAGAACTAGACCAGTGTTCCTCAGCCACGGGACTGCTGGGTTCTCCTGTGGGATTTACTTGGTGAACTGTCAGAATTTTGTAGCATGATGACCTCTACCCACTAAATGTGCATGGTATGTTCTTAGTTGTGACAACTAAAAATGTTTCCAGACATTACCAAATATCCCAAGAAGAACAAACACATTCCTAGTTGAGAACCATAACTAGAGAGCCAAGGTAAGACTTAACACATTTTACCACATTATATTCACAACACAAAGATAGTTTAACAACACAAGGAAAACTGCTAGAATAAGAGTATTTATAGGTTACAAATCTTTGCTAAAAACTATGTAAATTCAGGTATGAGGACATATACCTGTCTGTCATCCCAACACTTGAAAGGTAGGATTTAAAAGAATGAAATGCCATCTAGGCAGCCTCAGCTACATAAGGAGTTTGAGGTCATGTCAGCTTAGACTCTGCCTTAATCCCCCAAAACCAACCCTCCCTAACTCTATTCAAAGTAAAATTATTTAGGATTAATAGGTACTTAGTCATCTTCACCAGAAAAACAAAAATAAATTGATTATGCTACTTTCTTTCTATGACTGCCTCTTCAAGATGTATAACTCTTCCCATCCTTCTGACACCTATGTTTTTAAAATTTCCAAGAATGACAGTGCCCAGTTACCAGGACAACTCAGAATAATCACTTCCTCTTTCTTGTTTTTTTACATTAGACAAACACAGTTAGACAAATTAAAAGTAGAATGAGAAAGAATTTTCCAGTTAAGCTAGAAAGCACAAGGAAATGCTACTCACTATCTATTAAAAAATGAATAAACAAAGTAAGTCTTCATTAGAGAAAACAAAGCCTACTGATATTGTCTGTGACCCCCAAAACATTTTTATACAAAGATTCAAAATTAAAGGGTTTTTATTATCAAATTGCTTATTAATTTACTTATCTGTCTATCCACACATCAAAGTATCTGAGTATTTTTTAACATTCTTGCTTGAACACTAGTGAGGCAAGCAAATAACTATGGGTGAAAACTCTGGTTAAGCACATACATACACAAACTAGTGGCAATTAAAAACCTTACATAAATCAGGATAAAGAAATTTAAGGAAGCTATAAAATGGTATTGCATACATTTTAAAATTTTGTAAACTGACATTTTTAGGATAATATTAGGAAGAAGCCAGTTTCTACATTATCTGCAAATATGACCTCAAATAAAATTGTACATATTAATTATGTGAATCTGTGTTTACCTGTTAGGGATATGTGTACACTGAGAGCGCAGGTACCTGCGATGTAAGCTGGACTTACATGTGTCTCTGGTTCTCTGCAGGAGAAGTATGTGCTCTCAAGTACTAAGCTGTCTCTGTAGCCCCTAAAACCATAGTTCTACATACAAGTTCTAGCCAGCTTTTCAGCAACAGTGACTACACAATGAGAAATTCAACTTATTGAAAACACATACTCAGCTGGGCGTGATGACTCACACATTAAACCCAGTACTTGGGAGGCCGAGGCAAGCATATCTCTGACTTCAAGGCCAGCCTGGTATACAAAGCAAGTTCCAGGACTGCCAGGGACACACAGGGAAGTCCTGTCTCAAAATACCAAAACAAAAACAAACAAGCAAACAAACCAAAAAACCCTCACATACTTGAAAAGTAAAACTTACAAAATGACATACATGCAATAAATAACTATAGTTTGTATCCATGATTAAGTTGTGCTCTGAGTATATCTATAAATTAATATATCTCTACAAATTATATTGACACAAACCATAAGCCTTGAATACGTTTTTTATGTTAAAACAACACGTTAACTTCAGAATATATAGACTCTGAAGGAAATATTTGAGGCAGCTTAGATTAGAAATAATGTTTCAGCTACAACTCCAAGATACTGTTTAAAAAAAAAAAATAGTACAATGTGGGAGGTAGAGAGACGGCTAGCCAATAAAAGTCTTCCCAGTGTAAATCTGACAACCTGAATCTGACCCCCCGATTCTCCAGGGGAAGACAGAAAGAACAAACTCCTGAAAGTTGTGTTGTGACTTCATATATCACAGAACATGAACATGCACGCCCACTCACACTCATGCATCACACACACACACACAATCTCTCTCTCAAATAATAACAAATATTAAAATAAAATAGTACACTATAGCAAAAACCTCCCTGTGGGAACACAATTCCACAGGTTTCTATGAAAGTCACCTCAAACTTGAATTCAAGGTCTTGTTCAGACTAACAGACCTTTTTCTAATTGCACTTTTCAGGGAGGTGATCCAGAAGGGCGGGCTCTAGAATCCCACCAGTGCTGTTCTCAGTCCACTTCTGTTGCCTGTGTCTCCATAAAAGCTGTCTTGTGAAGAACTACTGTTTGAAAACTAATGAAAAATCAGCTCTCTCGCCTATACTTGTGTGTATGTTAAGTATGTCAAAAGTGAAGCTCACCAGCACTTGATGGAAAACTTACCTGACTCTGGCCAGAACAGCCTGCAGAAAGTTCAGCACTGTCCTAAGTTCAGATTCTCGACAGGCTCGCAGTAACATGCTAAATCCATCATTGAGAAGGTGTTCGTGAGAAGGGTATAAGCAACAGCTGGTCTCAAATACTTCTTGAACACCATCAATATAGATGCAAATCAGTGTCCACAGAGTATGCCTCTGCACCATTTCATCATTCTTAGAAACTAAGAATTCCTTTGCTTTCTCTTGGAACTCACTCGACAATTTTTCAACCCAAACACCAACGTCCAGATTTTTCTGTGCATACATCAGGAGGAATGCCATCTGACCCTTCCAAACAAGGGCTCTATGAGATGACGTGGAGGCAGGCCTGAGGAAACGAAGGAGCTCTAAAACACGGCTGGCTACATCTTCTATCTCTGCAACAGCTGCTAGCAGCAGAAAAAGACTGAAAAAGTTCTGGAGGCCAACTTCAGTTAGTTCTTCCATCCTTTTTTGATGAAATTTAGAATATATTCTATAAAATAGAAAAATTAGTAAGATTATTTCATCAACTAAAATCTATCATTTAAAATACTTTCCTCCAATATTCACAATACCGCATTTTATAAGTAACAGCTAATTTTATGTGTGTGGTACATGCATGTGTATATGGATATATGTGTGTGCAGGTGCTTGCTTCCACATACTATGGAGGCCTGAGGTTAGTTAGCATCAGGTGTCTTCCTCAATTGGACCCACTCTGAGGCAGTGACTCTCACTGAACAGAGTTCGTGTTTTCAGCTAGTCTAGCTAGCCAGCTTGTCCCAGGAATCCACTGTATGCCTCTCTCAAAGGCTAAGATTGTGTTAGCCTCTACATCTACCCAGTGTTTACACAGATGCAGGAGAGTCTAACATTTCCCCAGGTCGAGTTTTAGTTAACTCTTCACCTTGATGTTGTCCTGTCACTGTGAAACTGTCCACTGACATAGCAAACCATTACAGATTAATCACAGATTTAGCTTTTCTCAAAGAGAGTAGAAATGCTCTTTTCCTATGATACATAGCTTTTCCCTTTGATTTCCATCATTTCCTTACTTCTTGACCAACAAGACAGAAAATATTATAGCTTGGATTTCAAAAACTCCACAAAGGTCTGAGCTTTGTTCAAAAGTAATGGGCACTAACAGGCAGCAGCTGCAAATTTAGGAGACAGGCTAAGTAGAATTAGGCTAAGTGGAATCACTTACTAAGACACCAACCTCCTGTGACTCCTTTACTTCTGTTCCCTGACAACAAGGTTAAGTGGTTTTGGCTCTGTGTGTGCTCTCATCAGGATATGTTGCCTTCAACCAAAGCAACAGAGTCAATGGATCATGGACTGAAACTCTAAAACCAAGAGCACAAACAAACCTTTCCTAGCAAAAAACCTATCACCTCAGGCATTTGTCATAGCATCAGAAAACTAAGATATGCACTCTTTTAAGTACAATTTCGTGTGCACTTACACAAACTTTAACTGAACAACTTTTCAGAACTTTTTTGTACACCCTTCAGAAAAACCTGGTTTTATTTTGTACCTTAAGAATATTCAAGGAGCTAGGTTATTTTTACCCATGTAAAGAAAAATTATGAATGCTCAAATATCTAAGCCAGTAATTAAGAAATTTAATCTTTGATCAAAGCTACTAAGTATAAACTAACACCTTATGTACATTTCTCTCAACATTCAGGGGTTAGAATTGAAAAGCAATTCACCCTGACTTCCTACTCATGAACTGCTAAGTTCTGTAATTTCCATACTTAGTTGTTAAGGACACAGATAATCAAAGTACACAAGAGACTGAATGTTCATTAACAATGTAACTACATATGAGTTAATATGCTCGGCAAAGTAAAGACCTCATTTTTCCCCTACTACTCCCACTATAGTGGTTAATATAGTGTACGGGCCTATTAGTATTATCAAACGAATTACAGTAATTCTTAATTAATGTCGTTGAGCACTATGTCTTTCATAGAAACATTTATGTTTGAGAAGTCTTGCAGGTCTTGAACTCTCTGTAGCTAAGGATGATCTTGAGCTAACAATTCACCTACCTCCAGCCCCCAGCTCGTTTAACAATCTTTGAAAATGTTCTATCAGAAAGATACATATCCCCCCCCCCAAGTTCTTACCAAAGAAGAAGAATCAGCAGATGGTGATATACTACATGACATAGGCTTTAAAAGGGGGTTTCCATGTAGTTGTGAAAGTCGAAAACAAAAAACAAGTAGATTATATCCATTAAACAAAGAAAATGCAAAGGAAGGAAGGAAGGAAGGGAGGGAGGGAGGGAGGGAGGGAGGGAGGGAGGGAGGGAGGGAGGGAAGAAAGAAAACCAGAGAGGGGGAGGCAGGGAGACATAAACAGAGAAAAAGGAAGGGAACCAAACTAGAATGAAAAGTGGCAGATTCCCCAAGTGAGAACAATAGAGCTATTGGTTCTTGTCGGTTCTAGTCAATTTAAGGAAGCAGCATTGAATGAAACTGCGGGGTTCCAAGAACACAAAACATTTAAGCACTGAGCCCAATAGCTACCAATGTACAATGAGAAGATTTTTAAAAATTTTTAAAATTCTATCACTTTTAATGAACTAGAGAAAAGGATCACATAACATTACAATTGTGGCCAAAATTGTTGCTCCTACTCTGATATTTAATACATAGAATTTGAATTATCAGTACTGATTAGACGAGTAAGAAACTGAAACCCTCTAATTTATGTATATAAGTTTGTTCCTCATTATAACAAACAGGCAAGAAAAAAAAATTTGGTATCCTAGGTTAAGGAATATATTTTAAATGTACAAAGACTCTAACAATAACTTAATAATATAAATATCAAAATTTCCAAATGTACAGTGAACACTTATGACAAAAAAGATACTGTACAACACATACCTTCCTTTAATTTGTTTCCAAGGATGAGGGCCACTGTTCTTCATTGCTTTCTTAATGACTTTTGACAAAATACAAAGAAAAATCACATAACTGCTGCTGGATTTATACAGGTCAGGGTTTTGTTTGTCACCAGTGCACGTCTTCACCATTGCAAGCATTGACAAGGGTGACTTGATGATATTAGTAATGCCTTTCAAAGGAAGCCAAGAAATACTGAAGGAGCTGTTCTAAATAAAAATCAAAAGGAAAAAGAGTACAACATAGCTGTTATAGATATGTTTCCTACTAAGTAAAAATAAAAGCTGTAAATACTAACTAGCTCATAAAAGCCTACCATTGTAGTTATAATTTTATTAGATTGTAATTATTATATATACCCCAGAATTTTAAAAATGCATAAAAACAAAGAACATGAAGGTCTTTGAATTTTGTACTTTCCGCAAAATGTGTTTTTAGCAATTGGCCTGCCCAAAGATGCTATGAATGACCCTTAAAACCTATTTATTCCATATTGCTCAATGTTTCTGTTATGCCATTTAATTTTTAGGATAAAGAACACTTAATATATACTTGTTATAAAAAAACAATGGATTTCATTATATTTTCATACATCTGTAGCATGTGATAAATCACCAATATCAAGGCAACTTGTAGAAGAATTTATTTGGCTTATGGTTCTAGAGCAGTGGTTCTCACCTGTGGATCACAAGCCCTTGGGGGGGGGTCAAATGTCCCTTTCAGAGGAGTAGCCCAAGGCCATTAAGAAAGTACGGCTGTTTAAATTACAATTCATAACAGTAGCAAAATTACAGTTATGAAGTAGCAACAACAACAATGTTGTTTGGGACTCACTACATGAGGAACTAACTGTATTAACGGCTCAGAGCATTAGGGAAGGTTGAGAACCCTGCTCTAGAGGGATAAGCACATACCATGCCAGAGATGTGCATCAGCAAGCAAGCATGGTGGCTGCTGTAGACACTGAACACTAACAGCTTGAACCACAAGAGGAATTAGAGAAAGAATTGGGAAAGGCCCTAGTCTTTGAAATCTCAATGCCTGTCCCTGGTAACAAACTTCCTCCTGTAAGGTCACACCTCCAAAACCTATCAACAGTCATCAACAGGGAAACTAGTATTCAGACGTCCGAGTATATTTAAACTACCACACATGTTTGATTCTATACTCACTCCCATCACTGTCCTCTTTTCTTTTCCCTTTGACTAGCCAGTCATTTTTGTCATCCCTAAAACTCCCATTTACTTGATATCTTGTTTTTCATAAACTTAGATTCCATGTTTGATGAAACACATGAGATACTTGCCTAAGTCTGGCTAATTTCACTTGACATGGTAATGCCAGGTTCAATGCATTTTCCCGTTATTCCTTATGGTTGGATAAAGTCTGCGCTCTCTATCTCTGATATATATATATATATATACACACACACACACACACACACACATATACATCAAATTTCTTATCCAGGTTTTTTTATACGCCGTTTTTCATAAGAGCTATATATAAGATTTATTCTTGTACCTTCCCAATCGCTTTTCTTTCTTCCCTACTTTGTTTGATTTGGCTTTCTATTCGAGGATGTTTTAAATGTCTTTGACTGGAGAATACTATAAGTGCAAATGTTCACATGGACAGTCATGCCATTAGTACCCACCTGCATACCAGTACAGTGACAATGACATACTTCCCCCTGTAAAGTATTATCTTTATAGTATCCCTCATGACCTGAATTTCATCAACATTTTGGATGAACACTGTACTCAGGTCTTTGCAGAATGGGAAAGACATAATCTTTCCCCAAATGTGAAGAGGGGCACTAGAATGCCATTTCTATAGATAATTTTTGTGAAAGAAACCACTTGCAAGCTACATCCTCCTCCAAATAATTATTATTTCAAAAAATTCACAGTTCTCAAATTAAACACAAATCAACCTCAAATATCATAAGTAAACTTCAAAAAAAATTTTTTTGGTTTTTACGAGACAGGGTTTCTCTGTATTGTTTTCGAGGCTGTCGGTCCAGCCCAGCCTCAAACTCACAGTAAACTTCAAATTTTCAGAGCAAATCCATATTCTTTTTACTTACCAGATTCTTACTATAATATTCCCACAGAATGGTGACAATTGAAATGTTTGGCTCCCAGAAATCACAAAGTGTCAAACAACAGTGAAGATACATTCGTAACTGTTCTTCTAGTATACTATCCTAAAAGAAAGAAACTTGAAGTCATCATAAAGGAGTAGGTGGCTCCAAGAACGTCGTACCATTTGATAACGTACTGAAAACCCGACCATTAAAAAGAATATGATTATCCATCACGAAATCACAGCCATTCTCAATCTTCAGAATACAAGGTCTGACCTAACATAAGGGAAACAACTTATTTTGGAGACCATTAGCATCTTCAGATAATGGAAACTTTGTAATTCTGTTACTTAAATCATAGATGTTTGAAAACTGATGTGAGAAATCTAAAGAAATCTAACTAACAGAATGCGAAACAATCTAATAATTAAAATGCAAAAACAAATTCAAAAAGCTTGGTTATACTTAAAATTTAACCAAAGTCTTCCATAGGATTATAATATTTGCTCTTAAGAAAACCACAGGATTAGGGCTGGGAAGTGCTGGTTTCGAGTATTGTCTAACATTCAGGAGGGCCTAGAACCATTAAGAAAGAAGGGGAGGGGAGAGAGGGAAAGGGCCTCAGGGGATGGTAAGAGGAAGTTAAAAGGAAAGAGGACAGGGGAGGGGGGAGGGGAGGGGAGACAGGAAAGAGGAGCACAGGGGATCACAGAGGAGAGGAAGGGAGGGGAGATGAGGGGAAGAAAGGGGAGAAGAAGGAATGAGGGGATGGGAGGGGAGGATTAAGAATGGCTCAGAAGGTAAAGGCACTTGGGGCCAATCCTGACAACCTAAATTTGAATCCCAGGACCCCCACAGTAGAATGAGAGAAAACTGACTCCTGCATGTCATCCTCTGACTTCTATACATAGGCCATAATGCATGTGCATCCATTCACATTACACAAATCAACACAGGCATAAATAATGTAATGACTATTTAAAAACAAGATCAGAGGCTCAGGGAGCAGAGGCAGGCAGATCTCTGTAACTTCAAGGACAGCCTAGTCAACATAGTGAGTTCCAAGAAAGTCAGGACTATATCTATGGACTCTATCTCATCCCCAGAATGAAGAAACAAAGAGATTACAGCATTGGTAGCATATTATTTTGTTTATTTAGTGTGGTACATACGAGGCATGGTCTAAAGCAGGACATCTACAGCAATAATCAGAAATAGTACCTGTACTAGCAGAGATAACCCTTTCGGGGAGAAAGGGAAAACTAGACACTCATCGAATTCACACAATTTTAATTGCTGGGAAAAGCATGAACAAAGCAAGGTCATGTGACAGTCACTGTTAGGTCTCAAACTGAGGACAAATGTCTAAGGTGTCCATTAACACATCACAGCAGAAACTGGCTGCCAGTTTCTCCCAGTACCCCCCAGTCCCTACCTTTCACAAGATATGGCTGGCATACTCTATCCTCTACCCTGCATTCTTCAGCCAAGATATGGAGCATGGAGAATGAACGCAGCCAATAAGAACAGAAATGCAGTGCCAGGAAGGAGGTAACAGCAAAGCTCCCAGCCTGAGACAGAACAGCTCTAGAGATGGGCTTGGGAAAGAAACAAAGGAAGATATCAACTTATAATAACTAAAGTGCATAGTGGCAAAGAATATGGAGAAGTTAAAGGGGCAATGCATAGCACATCCACAAGTAGATGCCAACTGAGTGTTAACTACGTACATAACAAAACACACAGGTCTAGAACCCAGGGGAGAAGTCAAAGTTGTTAGTGTAATCCTGGATGTTGACATAATATAAACTGGTTTTAGACTAAGAAGCTAGATACAATAAGTAAAGAACATACATAAAAACAAGGAGTAAGTAAACAATAGAGTTTGGTTTTTTTTTTTTGAATTCTAACAGATACTAAGCAAAGGAATATAAAAGAATCTATAAAACAATAGCCAATGAAATAGGAGGAAAATTAGTTATCATAGAAACCAATGAAGTATGTCAAATAAAACCAATGGTCACCAGGTTTGAACATTATTGACAAGTTGAAAAATGAGGAAAAATAAGAACTCTTACACTTAATAATATGCAAGTCAGCGATGTCTTTGATAAGTGCACTTTGGACATGTCAGAAACTCAGTCACTGATGGCTGAGGAGATAAAGGGGATGGAGAATATGTTTTAATGGAGATATATAAAGAAAGTCCTTGAACAAGTGAGAAGTTACCCTATATGATGTTTAAGGAAATAAATTAGTTCTTGGTAGAAGCAGTAATACTTTCTATAGAAAGAAAAAGTCATTTGAGAAGGTAGAAGATACAAATTTGCAAAGATAGAGTTACATTTGCCTGGCAGAGAAAAGTTAAGTGCCAAGTAAGAGGCTGAGTTCAGCCAGGTGGTGGCATATGCCTTTAATCCCAGTACTTGGGCGGCAGAAGCAGACAGATCTCAGTGAGTTCAAGGCCAGCCTGAACTATTATACAGAGAAACCCTGTATCAAAAAAAACAAATACATAAACAAGCAAAAGATGCAGAGTTTAGTGGGTCCCTATATTGTACTAAACAGTGTGATACAGAGAAGTTCTAAATGAAGTCATTAGGATACATTGTCTTTGTTTTAGTTTTGTCCTTGTAGTTTATTTTGCAAAAAGTCTACAGTGGACTGTCACTGGACTCTCATGAAGACTTTGGAAAAGTAAGAAGGAATGATGAATTTTCTTCAGCAATATGTGATTGTGGGAAGGAATGGAGTAGGAGAGGATAGGTAAGTCTTTTCATATTTGAACAGGGAAGAGTTAAAGAAAAAGAGACATTTCTAAGGGAATGGCTATATTAATACTGTCATCTACACTGAAAAAAAAAACATAAAAAATGAGTAACTACAGAAGAGGGAGTTAAGTATGTCTCTCAGATTTCAAGTGTCTATGAGTTCTCTCAGGCCTAAAATAATGCCTACAAGGCCCAGTCCAATGTCTCATTCAACAAAGAGCCTCCATAAATGTTTCAGAAACAGATTAATTATAAGACTGAGAAAAGATTATTTCTACTAAGTACCTGTACACTCATTGAACCAGCAGTTTCATCACTGACATTCTGACTTTATAAAGCAAATCTAAATCTAAGCTCTTACTGATGCTTACAGCATAATACTAAGCAGAGTTACAGCATATTGATTTTATTATGTGATCAAGGCAAAAAGAAAGTGGCTTATAAAATTCATCTTGATAGGGTTATCTGTAATCTCAAACTGATTTGTGATGTAATACCCAAAAATGTGTAGTCAATCCAAAAAAAGTAGGTACTTTGGAAAGACAAAGAGAAAGTACACCTCTTAGGTCTGCTATACAAACTATTCTACATCAAAAACAAGCGCAAATGAGAACAATTTTAGCAAATGCCAGATTCAATCTACTTTCTTTGGGAATTGAGAACCTATGTTCCTCATACTGTATACAGCTGTGAAGAAATTAAATATAGCATTTTAGGAGATCTTTTTACTTTGAAGTTAAAAAATATTGCTCTTTAATGGCTACAGATTAAAATAAAATGCTTTAACATATGCCTTGTTTTGGAAGGACAGGTAAGTGATTCAGTTAAATGTCATATATAAAAGACATTTTTGTTAAAGCTTATAACCAATTACAGAACATGTTTCATTACTCTATATTTTCACATTCTGTATATCAACTATTGCCTTATTCTAAACCATTTCCTATTTTTTTATTAATACGAGTCTTTTTATTGTTCTAAAAGACACCCCAAATCATACTTAAATTCAGGATCTTGTTTCTGGAACTGAGTAACTTTTCAGACACATAGATACCATCCAAAAACTTCCTGATATCTTTGTTTTTAACTATTGTGGCTTGCTGGATCAGAGCTGCTGAAATTTGAAACAAGTTCAATATCATTTCCTTCAACGATTAATTTATCCTTCTGGGCTTGAGAGACCGAACAAGCAACATGTGTCTTCATCCGAACACTGCGGATGTATTTTTCACCCAAGAAATTTTATATTTCAACCAAAGACTCGTTCTTCTGAATAACAATGTTGATGGGAATGTGAGCATACACAGACCTCATCTTGTAGCAGAAGCCCAGTGTGACTCCCTTGATCATGTTCTGAACATAACTGTAGATGGTTCAGACATCATTTCCCATATTTTTAAAAATTCTTAAAAACTATGTGTCCAAAGCTGGAGAGATCACTCAGTGGTTAAGCATACATGCTGTTCTTGCAGAGACTTAGATTTAGGTCTGAGCACTAGCAGAAGACAACTGCCTGTAACTCCAGTCTTAGGGGATCGAACACTCTCTGCCCTCTGTGGGCACCTGCATGCATATTCATGCAAACACATACGAGAATAAAAAATAAACCCTGAAGCTGGAGAGATGGCTCAGAGGTTAAGAGCACTGACTGCTCTTCCAGAGGTCCTGAGTTCAATTCCCAGCAACCACAAGGTGGCTCCCAACCATCTATAATGAGATCTGGTGCCCTCAACTGGCCTGTAGGCATACATGCAGGCAAGACACTGTGTTCATAATAAATAAATAAATCTTAAAAAAAAAAACCTTTTAAAACAGTAAAAAGGGAAGTTAATTTTTAAAATGAAAAATTATTGTACATCAGTTAAATTACAGATAGAAGACTTGTCAATTTTCAGGTCCAGATAATTAAGACAAGAGTACATGACGTGATAGGAATAGAGCAATCAGTGGACATATTTGATCAGTGAAAATACCTAAGATACTTGAGTTTCCTCATTTCCTTACCTGTAGTTCCTCATCACTCTCTGCAGAGGGAAATAACAATAGCACTACAGGAACACAGGCATGCTTTCCTTTCACGTGTATCCACAAACTATATGTAAAGACTCAAATCCCAATGCTGACACTTCCTAGCTAGCTGGTCAAGCCAACACAAGCTGCTTAACCCTTCACATAGAAGTCTCTTGGTGGTAAAATGTAAAAACAAATACCATCCCAACACAGGATTACCAGCACAAGACTATCATTAACATTAATTACATTTTGTTACTTGCCAAAGAGAAACAGCACTGGGAGCCTAAATGCTGACTCCTGAAGCTCACAACAAATGTAATAAGATTCATAATCTGA